CCAAGATATTTTCACTAGAAACTAGACAAAAATACTTGGTGTGACTTTGTGTTTTTGCAGTGTTTTTAACATATTAACAAGAAAAACAGAAACAACACAACATTTGTGTATTTTTCCTTAAAGTGAAAAAAAATCCTAATTTGAGAACTGAATTTCAATCGAAATACTTTTTTCATGTCACATGAGTCACATGACAACTGGATGTTACTACTGGCAGAAACCACAAAGAAGAAGACAACAGGAAGTAGTTGGAGGATGATGGCGCTGTATGTTTTTTAACGTCTTATGAACAAACTTGTGTGATTTTAATTGTGTTTCAATTAATTGCAATTCAATTCATTGCAATTGTGAAGAGACAACATTTTGCAGACATTTGTAGTAGAAACTGAGCTACTTCCATGGTCAAACAAACACTGCAACAAACCAGTCATCACTCTACCAAACATGTGACTTTATTTCAGCTGAGAAATTAAAATCTCATTGGCTTTAACAAGGGAAACATCACTCCCACTCACAAACACCACGTCTCTGTATGCCTCAGATTACAGCTGATTTGATCCAAATGTAAAGCCTGAGGCCACAAATCCCTGCTCTCTGTGTTGCTGCTTTTTAACTCTGCTCAGATGACACAAACTGAAGTTTAGCAGCTGAGAGAGCATCGTGTTAATAAAAGACTGGCTCTGTTTAATGAGCGGCTCTCCGTTGTGTCAGGTTAATAATCTGTGTCATCAAGATTAAATGAATGTTGCCGGGAAAAAAAGCATGAATGGCACTTTGTGCTGCACTGTTACGGTAATCAAAGTAGGTCACTTTGAGGGTTTGTTTGTTCACGGCTCACTGAGGCTGGTTTGTCAGCACAATGCATGAACACCAGAGATGAATGTTGTGCAAACAGTAAGCTAATGATTGTAGGAGAAAACTAAAGCTGTAGCAGATAACTGTTATTTAAAAATGTTTCAGTATATTTGTTAAAACCGTCTCCAAGTCACGACAGTTTCTGATGAGACAAATAATCTATGAATGATCATCCTCGTGCTACAATAGCTGCCTGATGAAATGCACCAAAAACAACCAATCAGAGCCAGGAGGCAGGTCTTAGCGCTGTCAATCAACTTTGTGTACGTGCTGCTAAATGTGCTAATGACAGAAAAACAACTTAATATTACAGGAAAACCGCTTATCCGCCGTCATCAGTGACCATGCTAACTACCCTTTAGCATGGTAATCAGCCATGCATACACTGCAAAAACACAAAGTCTTACCAAGAATTTTGGTCTAGTTTCTAGTTCAAATATCTTAGAACACTTGAAATAAGGAAAATAAACTTGCAAGTAACTTTTTAGTAAAATATAGAAACTTGTTTTAAGTAAATAATTCCTTAATATTGATGAAAAAGAACTGGTTTCATTGGCAGATTATTTAACTTATAAGAAGATGTTTTTCAGTCCTTTTGTAGTTAATTTATCTGGCAATAGGACAAGAACTTTTTCATCAATATTAAGGAATTATTTACTTAAACAAGTTTCTATATTTTACTAAAAAGTTACTTGTAAATTTGTTTTCCTTATTTCAAGTGTTCTAAAATATTTGGATTAGAAACTAGACCAAATTGCTTGGTAAGACTTTGTGTTTTTACAGTGTTCCTGGTTTTAGTCAGATGGCCAGCAGCAGCGTTCTGGATCAGCTGCAGCTGGAGGACTGAGTTTTTAGCCAGACCAGTGAAGACACTGTTGCACTAATCAATGCAACTAAAGGCAGTCAAATAGATTTTTTTGTGTATTTAACGCAGGAAAACCAATCGGTATCTTCCAAAACTGGAATCAGCAGGTCAGGCTTTTTAAAAGATTGGTGATCGGCTAAAAAAAGTCAGTGAACTGCTATTTTCTCATGGGCTAATCCAGCTGGTGGAGCTTCATTTCCGACGTAATTAGTCTGAAGGTATTAATGCTAAAGAGTGTGGTGGGAACCTTAAGGGGTTAAATTAGATTTCCTCTTCCTGTCCAGAACAAAATATCCGCTGTACAAAAACAGGTCAAGCTTCACAAACGTCTGAAACACTCATAAGAAAGCTTAAATGTCTGCAATCTTCGGTTTTGGGGGGTTAAAATCCAAACTATTAAATTTCTGTTCTTTATAACCATTTGTGTATAATTGTTTGACTTTTATTTAGTATTTTCTGAGCTTGTTTGTGGATTAATTCACGCTGCTGAACAGGTTTTTTAACCATAGCTTTCCCAGTCCTCCATATCAAAGGACCAGGCTTTGCCACCTCCGTCTGAAGCTGCTAACGCCTCAGATACTCGACTCAGCAACGGCGGGTCATAAACCCGACACACACACACACACACACACACACACACACACACACACACACACACACACACACACACTGCCTTCCATGTAAAGCTACACTGCTTCACCTGAGGCGGAAAAAAAGACAGAATGAGTTGAAACAACTTCAGTATTACAGTCATAAAACATAATAGTGCAATTTCTCCCTTTAGTTCTTCACTGTGGAGCTCCAAGGTGGAACAGCACGATCAAAATGTAGATTCAGTTTTCTTTCTCGTAATGAAAAGTGAAACTTTGCCGCCCACAAAGAAATAAGTGTTCTCCAAAGGAGCCGTGACTATGAATGGACGGAGGACGACGAGCCGCTCTGTAATCATGTCCATTGTGTTTTCTTCCTGTCGTAGAGAAAGGAAACTTTCCGTCCCAGTCATGGTGCTGACCTCGGTTTCTACCTGATTCTCAGCTGATAGTGTCTTATCTTCACCCTGTCTGGTCTCATTTATATAGAACATAAATAAAAACGCTTGCAGAAACATTAAACAGCAAGCCTGACAGAAGCAGGCTCTGATTTTTAAGGTAAGAACAACATTTAACCCTTAATTTAAAACATTTAATTTAGTCAACAATATATGAGAAGTAGAAATAATGATTCACTTTTAAAATAACAAAACAAAGAATGTCTCTAATTTACAGTAAAATACAGACAACTCTGAATTTTAGCTGAATTTTATCGTAAAAATACAGCAAAATTCTGGCAGCCACAGCCGTCGGTATTTTACCGTAAATTAGAGACTTTGATTTACAGTGAAGGTTACATTTTGGGGTCAAATGTCTCAGCAATAAGGAGAGGATGTGGGTCAGTCCATCTTCAAGATTTCTTCTTTTAAATGTTTGTGCAGGTCAGTCAAATATGTACCATTTTTAAACTAAAAATAATAATAATAATAATAACAATAAATTATATGAAAAGACACAACATACAGCTCAAACTTAAATGTTAACATTTGGTGATCTGTACCAGATTATAGCAGAAGCTGCTTCATATCTGGAATCTTCTGACAAATTACAAAGAAAATATGACGCTACAAATGACTTTCACACTACACAGACAAACACACAGGCTTAATCACTGGCGCAACACAACACACACACACACACACACCCATGCAGTTAATGATTACATATCTGTAGCAGATTTTTCAAGTTAGATTTGAAAAATCTCAAATAAATTCTCCAGAACATGCAGCCAGAGGCCACACAAAGTCATTCCATGGGCCACAAACGGCCCCTGAACCACACTTTGGGCCCCTCTGATCAACTGTGGAACTACATTTGAATAGGACACAAACAGGAAATTCATGGAGAGCAAAAAGCACCAAATACTGTATTTCTAACAGGCCTTTGTGATAACAACCCTGCAGCTATTTTTTATTTTGCAATTTCTTTTTATTTTGCAGTTTCATGGCAGGCTAAGTGACAACATCCAGTGGTGCAAAGACTAAAAGAGGGTGTGATTCTGCAGGGGACCTGGAGAAGTGAAGGAAAGCAGCCAAATGAGGCCAGGAAGCAGCAAGAAGGCTGTTTATGAGTCTGAACAGCAGTCAGGGTGTCAGTCCCCTCATGGAGCATCTGAGAGGCTAAACCTGGCATTAATGTGTCTGTCAGCAAGCTCCACTGGGTCACATTATACAGTCCTTCAGTAAACAGGCCTCATACGTTCCAAACAGAGTGACACATAACCACACAAACACACTCTCTCACTTCCAAACTGCTAAACCAGAATTAGCGCCCTTCCTTCCAGGAATGCGCCTCAACCCTGAGCAGGAAATGATGTCAAACTTTTTAACACCAGGATATATTTATGCCTGTTTAGATGAGTGTTTTTACATTGGAGGCGTTGGGTTATTGTTGCTGTTTTCACAGTTAACTACCGAAGCAGATTCAACGTGATGATAGGAGAAGTGATGCGTTTGTTTAGGTCAGAGGTTCCCAAACTGGGGGGCGCCCCCCAGTTTGGGAACCTCTGGTTTAGGTGATGTTCCTACATGGATTTAATGTCAGAAAACATTTCATGACTCAAACCACAGATTAAAGATTTTCTGCAGACAAAAACCTTTCAAACGCCGAACAGATGGACGGATGAATGGTTGGATGAATGGATGAATATATGAATGTTTGGATGAATGGATGAATGTTTGGATGAATGGTTGGATGAATGGTTGAATGGTTGGATGAATGGTTGTGTGAATAGATGAATGGTTGGATGAATGGATGAATAGATGAATGGTTGGATGAATAGATGAAAGGTTGGATGAATAGATGAATGGTTGGATGAATGGTTGGATGAATGGATGAATAGATGAATGGCTGGATGAATAGATGAATGGTTGGATGAATAGATGAATGGTTGGATGAATATATGAATGGTTGGATGAATGGATGAATGGTTGGATGAATAGAGCTTCCTGCTCATGTTTAAACTTGGTGATGATGTCATGTGTTCATTAGCATATCAGTGATGTCATCAGGCTGCATCTATTTACATCTAAACTGTATTTAATTACATTGACAGTTTTCTTCCATAAACCGTACTTTCAGTCAACAAAAAGCAAAAAATTTTTTTAAATTTCCCATTTTATAAAACTGAAACTCTTGAGACAGGAAGTCTTATTTTGAAGTTGTGGCCAGCAGCTGGGATGCCAGTTTACCTGAGCTGAGCAGGTGAGCTGGCACGCAGCAGGTGAAGTCGGAGGCAGCGTCTCTCACTTCCTGGTCTTCGTCCTGCAGCAGGGTGAACAGACTGCTCCACAGCGACACGGTAGCAGCTAAACCTAACGGCAGAACAGGAAACCCAAACACTGTGAAGTTCTGGAGCCGGAAGGAAGAACCGGGTTCTGTTCTGCTGCTCTGACTCACCCAGCGGCAGCTGAGGGTTGGTCATCAGCGTGGATGAACAGGTGACCAGCACCTTGGCGACCATCAGCTTCACCTCCACCGGCTGATCTTCAGCAGAGCAGGAGCGCACCAGAGCCCCCCACTGGGCGAAACACACCACTGCACCCGGATCCTACGTTTAAAACAAACATGAACACGGCCGCAGAAAAACCACCCAGCTGTTGAGTTTAACAAATAAATTCAGCAGCTAAATATCAGATGTTTAGGAATTACATCTCTGAGTTTTGTACCTGATGGTCAGAGCTCACCAGCGCCACCACCAGCTGGGAGGCCAGTGTTACTGCAGCACAGAGGAGCTCCACACTGAAACAGAACATCAAACAGCTCATATAATCACCAAATCTCAGCTCTGCTGCTTTATCTTATTAATTTTAATCCGATACTTTAATTTCTACACAGCAAACTGAACTCCTGGCCAAACTTTGGACATGTCGGACCAAATTTAACAAGATCAAAATACTTTGTAGGCCTAAGTTTTGTTTTTTCCCCCCAATTAAATATACTTATTAATTTAATAAGTATATTTTTATTCTTTTTTACCTTGGACTCGCTTGCCTTACATCATCAGTGGTTGGCTTTTTATGAGCAATAGATTTAAAATCAAATCGACTTGTAACATTTTTCAAAGTCAGGACTTTTAATTAAATATACTAAAATACCTAAATTTTATTTGTTTTTTTATGCATTAGTAACAGTTGTGTATTTTTAGTCACACCTGTTGTTTCGCAGTATTTTTGTCTGTGTGCTCTGGTAACCAAGCAACAACATTTCGTTGCCAAATTCAATGCTGTGTCTTTGTGCAATGACAATAAAGTAAGAGTGAGAAATGGAGTTCCACAGGGTTTTGTACTCGTTACCCTTTTTATTTTTATATAATTTCGCTCTGTGAAACTTTTAAAAAGGGTTTGTTGTTATGCTGATGATAATGTGATATATTTCTCTGTAGATCTTACATTAATGAATCAGGTAACAGACTACAAGTACAACATAATGAATCACTATGTAGTGAATTGTTTTCTCTGAACAGGTTAGTACTAATTAAGACATGATAATCTTCTAGCTCAATACAATACAAAACAATTACTTATACTATTACTTGAAATCAGTTTAATTAATATTTAAGAAATAATCACAAATAAAGGTCATAGGGTCCAATTAGGGCTTCCTGCCATCCTTCACACACTAATACCTCCACTTTCTTGCCTTACTGTACACAAAAGAAGTGTGCTGGTACTCACCACGACATTTTGAGTCACAATACCCAGAGTGCCATTTAATCACATGGCAGACAAGGACAACCGGCAACCCAATCCCATCCCTCCTGAGCTCTAATCATAACCCAGGGGCCGCGCTGGAGGGAAAGTGGATCCCTGTGTGCAGAGATTGTGGCCAGGAAAAGGCTTCACAAGGCTTTGTAATGCAATCCTTATTCAAGCCTGTATTCTCTTGTCCGGGGTGAGAAAAGTACAGCCGTGGCTTGTCAAGAAAAGGTGTGTGTGTGTGTGTGTGTGTGTGTCTGCCAGTGGACATCCAAGGGCTTACCGTCTGAGCACAGACACATGAACTGGAACACCAAGTGCCAAATGAGTTTGCGGTAAAAGACAGAGGACTCATGACTCACGACTCTTTCATAAACTGACGAAAACACTGCCTCATGCCAGGCAGGTGTGATTAGTCTTACAGCAGGATAATGGTGCAGATGAAGGCCTTTCAGAGCATAAATATCAGCTTTCATCCGCAGAAACATTTCCACGCCTTGGATTTTATTTTGCAAATGCCCCCTCTGTGGCTGGAGGGACAGTAGGGTAACTACAGAGCTGCTGCCAAGCAAGCACAAAAACCCCACAGAAAGAAGCGAAGTGGTGCCCAGGTGCAGCCAGCGACCCGGTGTGTCCCCTCCTGCATGGATTCTCACTCTGAAAGCCCAAATGGTACCAGCAGATCTATGTCTGTCATCTGTCAGAGCTAGAGGCTGGGAATGGACAGCTTTGATGCTGTTTGGACAGTAAGTTAAAATAAGGAAAGGACCTGCTGTGTCCCATGCTTCTCTTTATGCTAACAGAGCCCTGTTGAGCCATGTAGAAAACTGCAAAACAGCTGAAACGCTGGATTCCTTTAAATAAAACCCCTCCTGTTCAGAGAAACACTGAGTTGTGACGGCACTCATCAAAGTGTAATGCTTCTTCGATTGTTGTTTGATTTCTCTATGACTTTCTTCATAAAAATGTTTAGCTTTTATCATGTAAGGCTCTTTGAACTGCCTTCCTGCTGAAATGTGATATACAAATAAACTTAATTGATTGATTGTATTCATTTAACTATCAGTTGTTTCAATAAAGTAGAACGTCTGACATTGTTTCCTGTTTACAGGGCTTTTAAGTTTATTAATTAAAACTTGATTTTAGTTTAGGCTGTATTTTCCCTACTAATCTGGATTAATCTGAATTCATAGCAACCACCAACCTCTCTTTTCAAAATATTTAAACCGATTTACAGCAGTTTTTCTTTAACCAATAGCTCTATTTTGGATCTGATGAATATCTAGATGACAGAAGTATCCAATCTCTGCCTCATGACTGCACAGGATTCCCAAAACTGAAAGTTATAAATTATAAATTATATTGCCTTGGGATCATGTGACAGAGTTGTGCTTTACTTGTGTTGATACATTTCAGGGCTGCATTTGATACTTACAATGATAATATTGTAAAGAATTAGAAGTTCCACAGGGTTCTGTACTTGTTACCCTTTTATTTTTTATGTAATTTCACTTTTAGAAAACATGAAGTTTCTGTTATGCTGATGACATTCAGATTTATTTATTTATCCATTAAGCCTACATTATTGACTCTGACATTTCACAAGCTTCAGGTTTCTCTGTCTACCTGCAGGCCATATATTGTTTAAACTGCAGAGATTTATTAAAATCATCTTTGCAAACTGTTCTCAGAGACACTTAAAAGATCAGCAGGATAAATGTAGCTCAATGTGTCTTCTCCATTTCACAGATCAGTTTTAAGCTACTGAATTTAACAGATTAATAATAAACTTTGGGCTGAACGAGACAAATTCAGACACTCTTATGGTCAGAACAAAGGATTTTTACCAACCTGTGAGTAAAGTTCTCAGCCAGAGTAAGTAGGTGGATCAGAACCTCCTCCTGGGACAAAGTCTTTGCTCCGTCCTTCCACAAGAGCTCACTGCTGGAGCCCAACACACACAACACCTGCAGGACCTGAGAGGACCAGAGGGAGGAAGAGAAAGTCAGCCAGATGCCCTTTTTTCCAGCTCTAGCTATTTTAGTTTTCGTCTTTCTGCTGAGCTAACATTCCTGCAGCATTCTGGAGTGCAGACCTGGAAAGAGAGAGGTTAACTCACGGTGGAAGTATTTGCAGGTCATTTCCCACTAAATGAGCTAAAAAGCAAACCTACAAAGAGAAGTATTGTTTCCATCGGTGTTTTTATGTGTATTTTGAAGTGTCACTTTATAAAATGTTGATGGAAATGGAAAATTCAAAATAATTTCCCCAATTTCATGCTTGCCTAAGGTCGGTTTTGGCTCTTCTGAGAAAAAGGAAACGTTAAAGAGGAGATGGAAACACATTCTGCAGAATAAATTCCAACATAGCGAATTTTCCCATCCAATGGTGGGTCCAAACCTCCATTAAGGAGGGGAGCTGTCACTCCCCAGAGTGGCCAAGGAGAAGCACTCTAGGCTGGGATGGGAGTGGTGGAACGCTTACATCCACTGGTGGGTCTGTGCCTTACCAGAGGCATAAAGCTCTATGTTTGGAGGTTTCTCTTAAATGTATGGCCCATGTCAGGACAACAAAAGACAAATCACAACATGGCCGAAAAACGTATCACAATACAAGAGTTTCATATCAAAAATGATTGATTAGTTTTCTGTTTTAAATATCTGAAATACCACCAAACTGGTGGCATGACGTTTCCTCTTTTATCCAGTTTTATCTCCATGGTATTGTTTTTTATTTTTAGCTAAGTTATGAGCCATAGTGGCAAAACCTTAAACTGCTGCTGCGCCAGTTACTCAACAGGCTGTTGCTAGGTAACCAAAGAGTGAGTGAGTTGCTAGGTAACCAAAGAGTGAGTGAGTTGCTAGGTAACCAAAGACTTACCTGGCAAATTAGCTGTTGCCACCCATGAATTCTGGATTTAGCCACTCAAGTCCAGCGAAATTATTGAATATTCTCTCAAATGTAATATCTATTGATATTGATCACATGTCTATCACTATCTATATTGTCATTAATGCATTGTCCAGCCATGAGACACTTGAAAATCTGACACAGAAAACATGCCTAAATTGTATTTTTCTTTTTTCTTTTTGAGAAAAAAGAGAAAAAAGATTCTAAAAGTTCACTCAAAATTCACACGGTAAATGAATGGGAACATAGCTACAGTCACACCAGAAACACACTTGTGCTTTTGTGTGATTGTGTGCGTCTCACCTTTGCTAAACACTGCTGGTGTCGCTCATGAACGGCCATGTTGGTCAGGTCGGCCACGGTGGTCTCACTGAGCCACAGAGGCCTTCTCTTGGCTTCGTCCCCCTCCTCTTCATGCAGCTTCCTCAGGACACTCTCCAATGCTAGCTCCCTCACCTCATAAAGTGGGCTACGCAGCAGACTGTCCAGAAGCTGGTGTCTCTGCTCGGCGCCTCTCCACAGGTCAGGACAGTCCACACTCGCACTGAGGCCCACCTGGGCAACGCTGAGCAGGTACTGCGTGCTGCCGGGGCCAAGCGGAGCCGAGGAAGAGTCGGAGGTCAACAGTTCAGAGGCCATGAGGATGGACAGTGTCGTCTGACGAAGAGCGCTGACCTCTGAATCTGAGAAGCACAAAACGGTCGACGTTAGCCAACAATGAAGGTGACAGGTTTGGGATAAATTCAAAGTAGCAGATAAATGCACTTGTGACAAGTGAGGAAGATAAAACATCAGTTTCAGATGAGCTTGATAGCGACATGAAGGTATAAAGATTTATCTTTATCCATTTTAAGATTTGGTTTAAGGGTTTTCCGCTAGCAGCTGAACTAGCATCTATAGGCTGCTGCTGCAAAACATAAAGATCAATTTTCCCCACTCTCTATTTGATTTTGCTGCCATCCATTAAAGAATTATTTCCAATAAACTGAATTAACAGAGGTCTCTTTGTTCTTCAATACTGGAAAGTGGACACCTGACCCAGGGCTTACATTAGTGTCTTTACATTTGAAGACTATATTTGTATTCTTCCTTTCAGTTGTGTCTCTTTCATGGACACAGTAATTTATGGCGTTATTACTGGTTTTATGTTTGTGAACTTCAAGGTTTATTGCAGTAGAAAGTACAAGTGGCTCAGTGCTTGTTCAGTTTCATATTTTATGAACAGTCACTTATGGTGTTACCACTTGTAAACTATTCATGTTTTTTATGTTAAAAGTATGCCTGGTTCAGTCTTTCTTCAGTTTTGTTTTGTTATGGACGGTGTAACTAGTGGCATTATCTTTGTGAACATGGTTCGTGTTGTAGAAAGTACTACTGGTTCAGTGCTTCTTTTTCATGTGTGTATTTTATGGACAGTAATTTATGGTGTTACTTCTGGTATTATCTGTATGAACTATGTTTTTTACCATCTTGTTCAGTGTTTTCCCCCTAGTTCTAACACTTTTTAGACTTATCTATTAATGGTTTTATTGATGGTATTGTTTTTGTGAACTCTCTATGTTTTTGGCCATAGAAAGTACACCTAGCTCAGTGTAATTTATTTCAGTTGTGTCTGTTATGGACAGTCTTTCGGAAGTTTTCTGTGTGTTTTTTTGACAGAAAGTACACCATTCTGTTTATTTTTACAGCTGAATCACTTTTATAGACATTTATGGTGTTATTACTAATATTGTCTTTCTGAACTCTTCTGTTTTTTTTAACTATGGAAAGTGCCCCCAACTCATTGCTTATGTTATTAACCACGTCTTTTTCCTAGAAGTAGTCATGGATAAACCTTTACTCCTTTTTGCATGCATCCATCCATCGTCATATTTTGCAATTATACTTTAAAAATTGGCCAAACCTGAACTATAAACATTGAACATTTGCACCAGGATATTTCTTTCACTGGCTTTTACATATAAATTATATTTATTTAAATTTGGTCCAACATTTCTGACCAAAGAAAACAACAAAATCACAAAGTAAGACAAGTTTGTGAGGTAAACCACAGACCAACTCGAGAGTCTTCTGCTCCTTTCTATTTGTTTATAGGAAAGGTCCAGAGTTGTTCCAACCCTGGCACCTGTGATCACACACTCAAGATGTCCACACACACTTGAGTGTGCACTTCCATTAAGTATATTCCAGTGGCAAGTCAGCTAAGGAGAAACTTAATGCCGAACTAAAGCTTCACCCCACCCTGCAGAATGTCTTCAGGACTGCAGAAACCCGGGTTTAACAGCCAACTCAATTAGTTTAAACATGCCAACACACACACACACACACACACACACACACACGCACGCACGCACGCACACACACAGCTTATGAAATCTAGTGCAACTTTATCTGCCCCACTCAAAATGGACCCTGACAAAAGAGCGGGAAACGCCTCATTCCTCCGGAGATGTTCTGCGTTACCGTGGAGACGAGTAGAGTTGCTGCAGAACCTGATCCTCAAAGCGGATTTGGGAGCCAAATAAGCAAAGCTTCTTGATTATAATAGAGGTTTAAGGGCACGATGATGGCATGAAGGGGGAATGATGACTGAGGGAAAGGCGCGTTAGAGAGAAACCAGCAGCACAGAAGAATGCTAATGGTGTTAGCTTGACACAACTTTGTGGCTAACGTCTCGATTAATTGCATTTACTTCACCCAACAACCGACAGAAAACCTCATATCAATGAAATATACTTATTAATAATTGGTAATTAAACTGAAGATGATTTGGTATGTGAAAGAAAAGTGACTAGGCATTTTTAAGAAATGCTTCGTCACTCGTTGCTATGGTGATTCCCGCCATTTTTAAGGCTCAGGGGAAAAGCAGAATTTATATAATCCTATCGTAATATATATATTTAAACAGTTAGCAGAAGTACTTTCTGGTGGCCATTATAGTATGTTTTTAGGCACATGTAATATTCTATGAAGGAAATGATAAAAACAAACTTCAATTTCAGTTTTGAAGGAAAATTTCAGAGCTACAATATAACGAAAGTGGATTATAGTTTGGAGGAGCGAATACAATAATTTGAGATGGTTTGACAGGAAAGCTTTGTTCTGATAGCAACTGCTCAAAAAAGCGTACAATTAACGCACATATTTTACATACGAAGAATAAACCTAACTAAATATTAACTTAAACATTTCAGAGGGCCAAAAATGTCTGGGAGACGATGCCACAAACTCAAACTTTCCAACCGGAAAATACATTTTTCCCTCCTGTCCAGCCACATAAAACTATTTCAGAGCCACTAATGTTACATGACCTTCTGAAAAAAGTCAATTTATAGCTACTGACAAGTATCTACTACAGGAAATTTGGTGTAAATCTTAAAGAACCAACATTTGATTCCTGTTTTTATTTTTAAAATAAAAAAAATCATAAAATTGCAAGAGGACAAATGGATACATTGATGTAAATTAATGTAAAAAACACTAAAGAAAAATAGATCTAAAGAAAAGATCAAGATATTTGAAAATACTTGCATCTATATTGCTAAAATTTTACAAGATACCAAAATGTGATATCAGTCAAAGAAAGTCAAACATCTTGTGACCTGATTAAGCTTGAAGTAGTTTGTTGGTTGCAAAGTAAAACCGAGCTATGGCGCTCCAAACGGATCAGTTTCCTCACTTATTTTACCAAAATCCCAGTTTATGTGGCATATTTCATAAACACTATATGACACGTCTCTATTAATAATTACTGAGTAACATAAAATCTTTGTTATATTTTATTTTTGGATGTGTTTACAGAGTTGGATCAAAAACTGCAAAGAAGAAAAAGATATGAGCCAAACAGCAATAAGCAGAATCTGGCATCCTCATTAATTTTAAGACCACAAATGCTCCTCTTAAAGACACCAAAAGCAAAATAAAAATAAAAACTGGAACTATAAAACTTAAATAAAATTCATAATAAAACGGTAAAGTTGTTTTTATGACGCCTTTGTTAAGGAGGACAGTATAGGAATTACTTCCTTCACTAATGAGATGCGTTCCAGTGAACTTGTGCACCATTTTTCATCCGGGTTCATAAATAGTCATTGTTCTCCCACAGCTGCGTCTGTTTAAATCCATCTACAGGTGAAAAACCACAGCTGCTCCAAACCCACACTCAAATAAACCAGGAGCTGATATTTTTGGATTTTCTGTTGAGAACGTGTGAAGAAAGCAAAGCTATTAAACGTGATGAAGGCAGACAAAATTATTCAGAATTAGACTTTAACACACCGCTAAAAAGAGATACATGCAGGGTCTGTTATGTAAAACTCTACAAGATTTGCCTTTATTAAATGATAAAAGCGTCTTTATGATTTTAATAATGTGTTACCTGGTAGTTTTGAGACAGACATACCCTACTGGTGCTAAGATTGTAGGTTGAATAAGGTTTTGGCAGAGGGGGGCAAAGTAGAAGTAGCCTAAAATGTTACTCAAGTAAGAGTGAAAAAGTAAAAAAATCTGCTCAAGTACCGATGAAATGATCATTTAATGTTTAAAAATGAGGAAGTACTCCGGCTTTCTCCCACATGGCTGGCCTCTGTAAACTCGCCTTCGCTGTGTGTGTGATTGTCTGTCTCTGTGTCGCCTGTTGCGACCCGTCCAGGTGACCCCGCCTCTCGCTCGCCCGTTGACAGGTGGAGATAGGCACCAGCACCCCTCCCTTACGCCGCTGGGGTCGGGTAGAAGATGGATGGGTGATTCTGATCAAATTTAAAACTGCATATGTATTTACTGAAGTGACCTTTGTCTGATCTCACACATTTAGGTGTCAAAGAATCAAAAACATGAACAGATCTGAAATGCATCACATCCTGCACTGGGCTCAGAACGCATGGTGGACGGTTCCAGCAGGTCCAAACAGGATCTGAACAGATAATTGCAGCATCTCAAGTGAAACATGGTTTTTGGGAAGTTTTTTTTTTCTTTTCTTTTCTTTTAGCTCTGCAAAAAGCACAGAAACGTTTATGGAGAAACTGCAATTTAACACTTTTCCCTCGAGGAGGAACACCCAAACTGTTCTCCCCCGCTTTTCTGTTGAACCTAATCACGAAAAGACCGATGAAAACGGAGAACAGAGCCAAGCCAGCCGTTAATAACAGCCTGTGGTTATGTTGATTTCCCCTGTGCATCTGGTTTACAGCGTGAGACTCAAACCTTGAAAGAGTTGGTAATTCTCTGCGAATGCGAGCAGAACTTCTGCTTTCTGTTCCGACTCTGGCAGCAAAGAAAAACAACAAACGCACAAATCCGACATTAAGGAAATGAAACTATTTCCCATGAAGAACCGTTTTTCAGAAGCAGAAAAGAAACTGTGGGTCATCTTTGATGGTCCACTGAGGCAGAGGTCAAATACTTGAACTAAATGTAACCCCAACATGTGGTTTAAATAAAGTTAAGCTTTTTGGTGAAGTCAAGAGAAGACATTAGTCGTCATCATCTGTTTGGATGGACAGAAGAACGATGAACCCAGTTTCACCAGCAAACGATCCAAAAGGGTTCATGTCACTCTGAAACAGCTTGTAACGCAACTCAGAGCAGAATATGATGAAGGTATCAGTGAGGAAAGCAAAGGGAAAAATGGCTGCACCACAAACCCTAATAAGTGCGCTACGTCTTTATTAGCGCCGTCGACAAG